TAGATAAATATCTACATTCTTCAGTTTCCGAACAGTCTTGGCTGTGAAGAGAGTTACTAGAAAAAGATCTTTGATTTCTACTTCTTCTGTCACTTGGCTGCTGATAGCTATCACTTGATTGCCTGCTGCTATCTACCTGCCTTACATGAGCACTGAACCCAGACTGATTTCTGGCTGAACTGGATTCGGACTGTACATGAAATGACATGTCTTGGCTGTGGCCAGAACCAGACTCATCAGCTGACTGGCTTTGATTAGTTTCTCGTTTTCTGCTCACAGTATATCCAGATATAACTTCAGCATCACCTGACTGTGCAGATGCTACTGCAGACTGACCACGACTGGACATTTGCCTTCTAACTGCACTAGACTCAAACTGATTGTGGGAATCAGCTGACTCCCCATGACCCATGTCTGTCTCTCCATATGTTAAAACTAACCCTTTGGTTTCTCCAGTTGTTTTGGATCCTGTATGGTCAAATATAGAAATATGTCTTTGTCTTGACACCTGTTTATCTGTGGCGCTGCGTACTGATCTTAAAGGACTAGAATTGCGGCTGCTACTTCTGCTGTGGCCAGAAGGTCCATATCCTGTCTGTCCATAGTAATATTCCTCACGACCATAGCTGCCATGTCGCCAATGTTTATAGGAATCATATTTTTGGTTACTACTGCTTGGTGACTGAAAATGCTTTGTTCCAGACTGGCCATGAACATGGCTTGATTGTCCAGACTGTCTCTGAGGAGACAAGTGTGTAGAACTATACTCCCCATGTTGAGATCCACTTTGGCCCTGAGAGGATCCCCAGTGTCTGTGTGAGATTTCTGAGTGCTCCTCACCCTGACTGGACTCACTGTGAACAGGTGTTCTACGTATTGGACTTGACCCAGAGTGTGAGGGCTGTCCATGTCCAGCCTGAGGTTGTCTACTAGTATCTCCAGACTGTCTCTGAGGACTCCTCTGTCTGCCACGAGCCGAGGATCCTGACTCCCCATGCTGAGATCCACCTTGGCCCTGAGAGGATCCCCAGTGTCTGTGTGAGACTCCTGAGTGCTCCTCACCCTGACTGGACTCACTGTGAACAGGTGTTCTACGTATTGGACTTGACCCAGAGTGTGAGGGCTGTCCATGTCCAGCCTGAGGCTGTCTACTAGTATCTCCAGACTGTCTCTGAGGACTCCTCTGTCTGCCACGAGCCGAGGATCCTGACTCCCCATGCTGAGATCCACCTTGGCCCTGAGAGGATCCCCAGTGTCTGTGTGAGACTCCTGAGTGCTCCTCACCCTGACTGGACTCACTGTGAACAGGTGTTCTACGTATTGGACTTGACCCAGAGTGTGAGGGCTGTCCATGTCCAGCCTGAGGCTGTCTACTAGTATCTCCAGACTGTCTCTGAGGACTCCTCTGTCTGCCACGAGCCGAGGATCCTGACTCCCCATGCTGAGATCCACCTTGGCCCTGAGAGGATCCCCAGTGTCTGTGTGAGACTCCTGAGTGCTCCTCACCCTGACTGGACTCACTGTGAACAGGTGTTCTACGTATTGGACTTGACCCAGAGTGTGAGGGCTGTCCATGTCCAGCCTGAGGCTGTCTACTAGTATCTCCAGACTGTCTCTGAGGACTCCTCTGTCTGCCACGAGCCGAGGATCCTGACTCCCCATGCTGAGATCCACCTTGGCCCTGAGAGGATCCCCAGTGTCTGTGTGAGACTCCTGAGTGCTCCTCACCCTGACTGGACTCACTGTGAACAGGTGTTCTACGTATTGGACTTGACCCAGAGTGTGAGGGCTGTCCATGTCCAGCCTGAGGCTGTCTACTAGTATCTCCAGACTGTCTCTGAGGACTCCTCTGTCTGCCACGAGCCGAGGATCCTGACTCCCCATGCTGAGATCCACCTTGGCCCTGAGAGGATCCCCAGTGTCTGTGTGAGACTCCTGAGTGCTCCTCACCCTGACTGGACTCACTGTGAACAGGTGTTCTACGTATTGGACTTGACCCAGAGTGTGAGGGCTGTCCATGTCCAGCCTGAGGCTGTCTACTAGTATCTCCAGACTGTCTCTGAGGACTCCTCTGTCTGCCACGAGCCGAGGATCCTGACTCCCCATGCTGAGATCCACCTTGGCCCTGAGAGGATCCCCAGTGTCTGTGTGAGACTCCTGAGTGCTCCTCACCCTGACTGGACTCACTGTGAACAGGTGTTCTACGTATTGGACTTGACCCAGAGTGTGAGGGCTGTCCATGTCCAGCCTGAGGCTGTCTACTAGTATCTCCAGACTGTCTCTGAGGACTCCTCTGTCTGCCACGAGCCGAGGATCCTGACTCCCCATGCTGAGATCCACCTTGGCCCTGAGAGGATCCCCAGTGTCTGTGTGAGACTCCTGAGTGCTCCTCACCCTGACTGGACTCACTGTGAACAGGTGTTCTACGTATTGGACTTGACCCAGAGTGTGAGGGCTGTCCATGTCCAGCCTGAGGCTGTCTACTAGTATCTCCAGACTGTCTCTGAGGACTCCTCTGTCTGCCACGAGCCGAGGATCCTGACTCCCCATGCTGAGATCCACCTTGGCCCTGAGAGGATCCCCAGTGTCTGTGTGAGACTCCTGAGTGCTCCTCACCCTGACTGGACTCACTGTGAACAGGTGTTCTACGTATTGGACTTGACCCAGAGTGTGAGGGCTGTCCATGTCCAGCCTGAGGCTGTCTACTAGTATCTCCAGACTGTCTCTGAGGACTCCTCTGTCTGCCACGAGCCGAGGATCCTGACTCCCCATGCTGAGATCCACCTTGGCCCTGAGAGGATCCCCAGTGTCTGTGTGAGACTCCTGAGTGCTCCTCACCCTGACTGGACTCACTGTGAACAGGTGTTCTACGTATTGGACTTGACCCAGAGTGTGAGGGCTGTCCATGTCCAGCCTGAGGCTGTCTACTAGTATCTCCAGACTGTCTCTGAGGACTCCTCTGTCTGCCACGAGCCGAGGATCCTGACTCCCCATGCTGAGATCCACCTTGGCCCTGAGAGGATCCCCAGTGTCTGTGTGAGACTCCTGAGTGCTCCTCACCCTGACTGGACTCACTGTGAACAGGTGTTCTACGTATTGGACTTGACCCAGAGTGTGAGGGCTGTCCATGTCCAGCCTGAGGCTGTCTACTAGTATCTCCAGACTGTCTCTGAGGACTCCTCTGTCTGCCACGAGCCGAGGATCCTGACTCCCCATGCTGAGATCCACCTTGGCCCTGAGAGGATCCCCAGTGTCTGTGTGAGACTCCTGAGTGCTCCTCACCCTGACTGGACTCACTGTGAACAGGTGTTCTACGTATTGGACTTGACCCAGAGTGTGAGGGCTGTCCATGTCCAGCCTGAGGCTGTCTACTAGTATCTCCAGACTGTCTCTGAGGACTCCTCTGTCTGCCACGAGCCGAGGATCCTGACTCCCCATGCTGAGATCCACCTTGGCCCTGAGAGGATCCCCAGTGTCTGTGTGAGACTCCTGAGTGCTCCTCACCCTGACTGGACTCACTGTGAACAGGTGTTCTACGTATTGGACTTGACCCAGAGTGTGAGGGCTGTCCATGTCCAGCCTGAGGCTGTCTACTAGTATCTCCAGACTGTCTCTGAGGACTCCTCTGTCTGCCACGAGCCGAGGATCCTGACTCCCCATGCTGAGATCCACCTTGGCCCTGAGAGGATCCCCAGTGTCTGTGTGAGACTCCTGAGTGCTCCTCACCCTGACTGGACTCACTGTGAACAGGTGTTCTACGTATTGGACTTGACCCAGAGTGTGAGGGCTGTCCATGTCCAGCCTGAGGCTGTCTACTAGTATCTCCAGACTGTCTCTGAGGACTCCTCTGTCTGCCACGAGCCGAGGATCCTGACTCCCCATGCTGAGATCCACCTTGGCCCTGAGAGGATCCCCAGTGTCTGTGTGAGACTCCTGAGTGCTCCTCACCCTGACTGGACTCACTGTGAACAGGTGTTCTACGTATTGGACTTGACCCAGAGTGTGAGGGCTGTCCATGTCCAGCCTGAGGCTGTCTACTAGTATCTCCAGACTGTCTCTGAGGACTCCTCTGTCTGCCACGAGCCGAGGATCCTGACTCCCCATGCTGAGATCCACCTTGGCCCTGAGAGGATCCCCAGTGTCTGTGTGAGACTCCTGAGTGCTCCTCACCCTGACTGGACTCACTGTGAACAGGTGTTCTACGTATTGGACTTGACCCAGAGTGTGAGGGCTGTCCATGTCCAGCCTGAGGCTGTCTACTAGTATCTCCAGACTGTCTCTGAGGACTCCTCTGTCTGCCACGAGCCGAGGATCCTGACTCCCCATGCTGAGATCCACCTTGGCCCTGAGAGGATCCCCAGTGTCTGTGTGAGACTCCTGAGTGCTCCTCACCCTGACTGGACTCACTGTGAACAGGTGTTCTACGTATTGGACTTGACCCAGAGTGTGAGGGCTGTCCATGTCCAGCCTGAGGCTGTCTACTAGTATCTCCAGACTGTCTCTGAGGACTCCTCTGTCTGCCACGAGCCGAGGATCCTGACTCCCCATGCTGAGATCCACCTTGGCCCTGTCCCAACCTTCACTGGACTCACTGTGAACAGGAGACCTCCTAGGTGCTGGGCCTGACCCAGAGTGTGAGGGTTGTCCATGGCCAGCCTGAGGCTGTCTGCTGGTGTCTCTAGACTGTCTCTGAGGAGTTCCTTGTCTGCCATGAGGTGAGGATACTGACTCCCCATGTTGAGATCCACCTTGGCCCTGAGAGGATCCCCAGTGTGTGTGAGAGACTCCTGAGTGCTCCCAACCTTCACTGGACTCACTGTGAACAGGAGACCTCCTAGGTGCTCGGTGTGACCCAGAGTGTGAGGGTTGTCCATGGCCAGCCTGAGGCTGTCTGCTGGTATCTCTAGACTGTCTCTGAGGAATCCCCTGTCTGCCATGAGCTGTCGATCCTGCCTCACCATGTTGAGATCTACTGTGGCCTTGAGCTAATCCTGAGTGTCCTAGTGATCCTGAGTCAGTTGGCTGGTTTTCACTATCAGTTGACTGGTTGTCTTCTCTTTCCTGTCCTCTATTTCTTGACGTTCTCCTCTCCTCACTTGATCCTTGCCTTCTCTGTCTATGTCCGTGTTTGCTGTTATGAGCCTCCCATTCACTTCCTGATGCATTCTGACTCCTATTTCTTTCACTATCACTCTCAGTAGTGCTTTCTTGCCCTCTTTGTCCAGCCTGACTATGTGGTGAATCATGTCCAAAACCAGAGGATTTATGTGATCCAGATCCATGTTGTCCAAAGCTAGAAGGCTTATGTGAGCTACACTTCTGTCCAAATTTAGAGGACTGACCTGAGCTAGAACCATGCTGCCCAAAGGTGGACGATTGACCTGATCCAGAACTGTGCTGCCTGAAACCAGATGACTGACCTGAGCTGGACCCATGCTGCTGGAAGCCCGACTGACCCGAGCCAGAACTGTGCTGCCTGGAGCCCGACCACTGACCTGAGCCAGAACTGTGCTGACTGGAGCCTGACCACTGACCCGATCCAGATCTGTGCTGCCCTAAACCAGATGACTGACCTGAGCTGGACCCATGCTGCTGGAAACCCGAATGACCCGAGCCAGAACTGTGCTGCCTGGAGCCTGACCACTGACCCGAGCCAGAACCATGCTGCCCAAAGCCCGATGACTGACCTGAGCCAGAACCATGCTGCCCAAAGCCCGATGACTGACCTGAGCCAGAACTGTGTTGCCCAGAGCCCGACCACTGACCCGAGCCAGAACCGTGCTGCCTGGTGCCAGACCACTGACCTGAGCCAGAACTGTGCTGCCCAAAGCCTGATGACTGACCCGAGCCAGAACTGTGCTGCCCAGAGCCCGACCACTGACCCGAGCCAGAACCGTGCTGCCCAAAGCCTGATGACTGACCTGAGCCAGAACTGTGCTGCCCAGAGCCCGACCACTGACCTGAGCCAGAACTGTGATGCCCAAAGCCTGATGACTGACCTGAGCCAGAACTGTGCTGCCCAGAGCCCGACCACTGACCTGAGCCAGAACTGTGCTGCCCAAAGCCTGATGACTGACCTGAGCCAGAACTGTGCTGCCCAAAGCCTGATGACTGACCTGAGCCAGAACTGTGCTGCCCAAAGCCTGATGACTGACCTGAGCCAGAACTGTGCTGCCCAAAGCCTGATGACTGACCTGAGCCAGAACTGTGCTGCCCAAAGCCTGATGACTGACCTGAGCCAGAACTGTGCTGCCCAAAGCCTGATGACTGACCTGAGCCAGAACTGTGCTGCCCAAAGCCTGATGACTGACCTGAGCCAGAACTGTGCTGCCCAAAGCCTGATGACTGACCTGAGCCAGAACTGTGATGCCCAGAGCCTGACCACTGACCCGAGCCAGAACCGTGCTGCCTGGAGCCCGACCACTGACCCGAGCCAGAACTGTGCTGCCCAAAGCCAGATGACTGACCTGAGGTGGACTTGTGCTGCCCGGAGCTTGATGACTGACCTGAGCCAGAACCGTGCTGCCCAGAGCCCGACCACTGACCCGAGCCAGAACTGTGCTGCCCAAAGCCTGATGACTGACCTGAGCCAGAACTGTGATGCCCAGAGCCCGACCACTGACCTGAGCCAGAACTGTGCTGCCCAAAGCCAGATGACTGACCTGAGGTGGACTTGTGCTGCCCGGAGCTTGATGACTGACCTGAGCCAGAACCGTGCTGCCCAGAGCCGGACCACTGACCCGAGCCAGCACCGTGCTGCCCAAAGCCAGATGACTGACCTGAGGTGGACTTGTGCTGCCTGGAGCTTGATGACTGACCTGAGCCAGAAGCGTGCTGCCCAGAGCCCGACCACTGACCCGAGCCAGAACCGTGCTGCCCAAAGCCAGATGACTGACCTGAGGTGGACTTGTGCTGCCCGGAGCCTGATGACTGACCTGAGCCAGAACTGTGCTGCCCAGAGCCCGACCACTGACTCGAACCAGAACCGTGCTGCCCGAGGCCAGATGACTGACCTGAGACGGACTTGTGCTGCCCAGAACCCGACACCTGACTCGATCCAGAGCCGTGCTGCCCAGAGCCACACGACTGACCTGAGCCAGAACCCTGCTGCCCAGAGCCACATGACTGACCTGAGCTGGACCCGTGCTGCCCTGAGCCTGACCACTGACTCGATCCATAGCCGTGCTGCCCAGAGCCACACGACTGACCTGAGCTGGACCCGTGCTGCCCGAAGCCACATGATTGACCTGAGCTAGATCCATGTTGACCATAACCTGATGACTGACTTGATGCAGAACCATGGTGGCCACAGCAAGACTGACCTGAGCCATGGCCATGTTGTCTACAGCCAGAGGAATGACTTGAACTTGTTCCATGTTGCTCACAGCAGGATGATTGCCCTGAACCAGGCCAATGCTGACCACACTGGGTAAATTCACCACACCCTCTTTGCTGAGAGCTTGAAGAGTGTCCACAGGAAGCAGTTCCATGTTGACTATAACCAGAAGACTGACTTGCACCAGACCCATATTGCCCACAGCAAGAAGACTGACTTGAGCCTGTTCTCTGTTGTCTTCCACAGTTCTGTGATTGGCCACATTGTTTAGATCCAGACCCTCTCTGACTGGAAGAGTGGCTACAGGATCTAGGTTCAGGCTGACAACATCTAGAGGACTGACCTCCTGAGACACATCCAAAGCCTTGTCCTCCACTACTTCCTGTTTGACAGCCTGAGTGGGAACAGCAAGATTGATTTCCTTGCCCTTCAGATCTGCTTGTCTGACAGGAATGTGAAGCATTTTGTGGTCTTCCACTTCTACCTGGATTGCTAGAACCGCATGAATGACTTTGTGCCTTATTCTTTCCTGAACTTGCAGAGGTAGGCCCAAGCTTTTGTCCTCCACCCTTTGACTGAGTAGAGTTTGATTCATGTTTGCTTGTCTCCAGTCCATGTGACGAACCACCATGGCCTTTCCTTTCCTGACTCTTTGACCTAGGTCCAGATTCATATTCCTCCCCAGATTCCCTCGACGGGCTACCTTGTGACTTGTTTCTTCTTTTTCCTAGCTCTTCAGAGCTGGAACCGTGTCTCTCTTTGCTACTGCTCCAAGAGTGACCAGAGCTAGACCCACTGTGCGTTTCCCCAGCTTCCTCTGAACTGGATAATTCACCTTGCCTTCCCAGTCTCCTAGAGTTGGACCCATGTCGCCGTTTTTCAGTTCCCCATGAGCCCCCAGAACTATGTCCATGCTCCTCTCCCTCACTCCAACTTGAATGTCTGAAACCTGATTTCTGCCTCGGTGTCTCTTCTTCTTCCGTTTCGCTTTCTTCCTTTCGGTGTTGATGACCATGCCTACGCTTCTTTGACCCTGAAGCTTTACAGTATTCTTTGCTGAGAACCTTGTTGCAGGCCATAGCCAGCTTGAACACCATCAGAAGAAACTCAGTAAAGTCCAATCTTCGGTCATGGTCTCGATCCAGCATATGCATGATGACTTCCACTGTGTCTGGGTCATCTGGGTTCTGTGTATGGGAGACATAGTCAGGGGGACTTGGTGAGCCTAACCCACATTCGCAGTAAAAATAACCTAGCAGCACCTAGTGCATTTGCTGATTTGTGTATTACATAATTTTAATACATATGGGTATTATTTTGGGATGATAGTACCCAGCATATGTGAAGGGATAATGGAAAATAGAGATCATTGTGATCCCTAGTAGATGATGTTTTAAGGATCTTAGCTAGAGAATTAAGTGCTCAGGTTATAGCATATGGAAAGGAGTAGAATAAGCTAACTTTACTCACTGGTATATTTTAGTTTTACGTAGATTTTAATCACATTAACGCATTCTGTGTTCAAATATATTATGTTGAGTATATATTTGGTTAATATCTTTGGTTAAGTTTGTCCTAAGTAATTGGGGGGGAAAAAGTATGTACTTTGTTTTCATTTTTAATTCATCCTTTCCACTTTGTTAACTCACTTTCTGGATGACATTCCTCTTTAACATCTTTCTCTATTTATTAGTAAATAGTTTATTAATTTCTTAGCACTAATTTATTTTTTAAATTTATTTTCAGAAAGTCAAGCCTGAGTACACAAGAAAGTCTATGTCTATGAGGTGAAGGAAAACGGGAAAGTGAAGAAGAAACACGCTTCAGAATACATGCTGACCTGACAGAACTTATGAATTTATGATGCCCCTCTCCCAAAACTATTGCTCAGAGCCTGCTCAAAGACAATGACGGCTGTGCTATAGAGCAGCACCACAGGACCCCCAACAGCTTTCAGGGTTGGCACGCACCTTCAGAATTGGACGAAACTCTTTCTCTAGAAGTTCCTTTAGCTCATCCTTGCTCAGTGTGCCACATTCCCCATCTTGCTTGGTGTATTTGTAGAAAATATCAATGACGGTGACAACACTTCTTAAGAGGTCTGTCATCTTTTTGCAAGTTTAAGTGAACCTAGAGAGAAAGAGAAAAGGCTTTCATTTCATTTCATTTTCTTTTAATTTAGCAACAGTTCTTGTTTTAATACTATGAGTTTTAAACTTCTTTTCTCTTTTCGACCTCAACATATAAGTATGGTCCAGGCTTTTTGCAACACCATTCAACACAATGGAAATTTGGGGCAAACGACTGGCCCAGTTACTGGTGCCCTGGGACTAGATCTCAGGTCTCCGTATTATTTGTCTTGAATGAATATATTCTTTATGTAACATCTGTACACTTTGGGTATTTTGGTGTCATAGATGCTGCTCTGACCTTCCAAAGTGCCCAGAACCACCCGGACACCATGACCTCCCCTCCTCTTTTTCTCTCTCTCTTTCTTCTTTTCTCTTTTCCTTTCCTTTCTGATGGGAGATGATGTAGTTTAAGGACCAGGCAGGAAAGGTCTGTTCAGGTCTTGTTAAGTGTCCAGAGTGGATCCAGAAGGCTTAGGGGGTACATGTATGTGTCTATGTGGGTATATGTGGACTTGCACAAAGTTTGGGGACAGGCGCACATGTGTATGTATGTATACGACGAAGAGGCCAGAGGCTGATGTAAGGTGTCTTCCTCAATAATTCTTCACCTTATAATTTTTTTGTTTTATCTTCTCTCTGCATGCATGAATGGTATATGGGAATGCTTGGGCATATTTGTGTGTGTGAGTGCAGGTGCATGTGTGTCATGGTGCATGTACGGAGGTCAGAACAGCTTCAGCTCTTGGTCCTTACCCTCTACATTTGTTGGAGACAGGGTCTCTTTGTGTATTGTTTGCCATTGTGTCCACCTGATTGGCTGTCCCGGCCTTCTAGAGATTCTTCTGTCTCACCTCCCATCTTGCCACAGGGACACTGGGATTGCAGATGTGCACTGCCACCCCTGGCTTTATGTGGGTTCTGGGGATTCAAATTTGGGTTCTCACACTTACAGGGCAAGTGCTTTATGCACTGAGTCATCTCCCCAGCCCTCCACCTTATTTTTTGAGACAGTGTCTCTTAATGAATTTAGAGCTCATTGATTTAACTAGATTGACTGGCAGATGAACTCCCAGAATCCACCTGTCTCTGCCCCTACCCTAGTGCTAGGGTGACCAAGACACATGCCTTCACACCCAGCTTTTACATGGGTGCTGGGGATCTAAGCTGAGGTGCCCGTGTTGTGTGGCAGGCACTTTACTCCCCAGTGTCTTTTCTTTTCCTCCCCTCCCCCTTCTTTCTTTTTGAGCCAGGATCTCATGTAGGTCAGGCCGGTCTCAAAAAGTTACTATGGTTAAATGCATTTTTTTTTTCTGAGAAGTGAAGTGATCACACCATTTTGGTTGATCAGAAAGTCATCTCCATTTATTTCTTAAATTGCTTTTGTCAGGGTATTTTATAACAGTAACAGAAAAGAAACTTAAGATGCTCCTCAAACTACCTTAAGACTAAACTTGTCCTAATATTCAAAGTAAAAAAAAAAAAAAGTTGTGATGTTGCCAAGGCTGGCCTTGAACTTTTGCTCCTCCTGCTTCTACCTCCCAAGTGCTAGAAATGCAGGCATCCCCACCATGCCCAGCTGGGACAAAAGTGACAGAATATCTGCTTAACATCTATATCTCTATTGTTCAGCAGAAGACAAACAGGACCCTAAAGTCCTACAAAAAATTTAAAACAGGCCAAGTAGGGGGCGCATTCTGGAGCACTGGCTCAGAAGTTAAGAGCCCTGGCTACTCTTGTAGAGGACCCAGGTTCCAGTATTCACATGGTGGCTAAAAACCATCTCTGCTCCAGTTCCAGGGGATTCTCTTCTGGCCTCTGTGGGCATTGCATGAATGGGTGCACTTACATACTTGCAGACAAAACATTCGTGCACATAAAAGAAAAATAAATAAAAATTAAAAAATGGGCATAGTGGACCAAATGACATCTTGGTAGTTTAGAGCCTCGTGATCACATAGCTCTTATCAGAGGTCAGGAGCTGTCTAATCTTGGCATTTTAAAGACTATTCCCTTTTATTAATCAGAAATCCAGGAAGAACTTGAAGATGGCTAATTAAATCTTGAAGCTCTAGAAACCAACACTGAACCAGCAGGAAACTACACAACCCACAGCCAGTCTCTCGCCTATCTGTGCTTCATGCCTTCACAGAGAGGGCGTGTGAGAGGACCTGGAAGAGAGTATGGGGCAGCCTAGAAGAAAACAGGCTTAGTTTTCCCCATAGGGACATATTTCTAAAGATTCAAGAATAAACCAAAATTAACTGAACGAAGAAAGAATCAACAACAACAAAAAGTAGCTAAATATCTACTATCTGTGCATGAGTTCAGACTCTTGGATTCCTATCAGATACCAAATATTATAGATTTAGTTGTATGAAAGTTTTTCTCACCTGACTCACCAAAGGAACAAGCAGGATAAAGCCTGATGCAGCTTGCAGGGTGTTGATGGAATGGATAGTAGCCCTTATATAGCTTCCAGCGTGGGTGCTGTCTTCGTGGGATGGACTGATTCATTTCCAATCAAACTTAACTCCACCCCTCTACATGTTTATCTTCCTTCTTCACATTCTCATCTGTGCGATGATTGCAGAAAGGGTGGTAGTGACCCCACCTTCCACTGTGAAGACATGCTCTGAGACACTCTCTTTTTAGGGTCATATACATGTGCAAAGCAGAGTCTGTTCTAGAGGACTTGCATAATTGGTTTCCTTTATCTGGTATCCACAGAAGGTGGCAGAGTGTAAGATGCTTGGCAGGTGCATGGGAACTTTTTAAGTTGCAAATAAACCCAAGCCACTAGGCTTACCTGATTCATGTATTTTCCAATGATAGCTGCCATTTATTGAGCACTTACTGTGTGCTTGTGTGCTGAATATATTTCTCATATCATATCTTCTCATAACAGTTACATACACATTTTACCCCATTTTATACATGAAGGTATAGGTGTAGGAAGTCTAAGAGTATCTAAAATCACAGCTGTAAGGTAGAGGAACCAAGATTTGAACTTATATCTACCTTACTGCAGTGCTATTCCTTGTAATCGTTATGTTGGCTTATCTTTATTATGTAATAGTATGCAAAAAAGAGTCTCAGGTTTATATGTACACCATTTTAGGAATGTCAAGTCCATTCACAATACAAAAGAATAATATATGGGATGCTGCAAGCCGTGAAAAGAAGACGTATTCTCTGGCCTGTGTAGGTTATATTTGGCTAGCAAAGTATAACGGGTTATAAAGAAAAGCAATGTTTTCAGAAGTGCTTAAGATGAATTTCAAGTGGGCTTTCTTCCAGAGCCCTAGTATCCATTGGCACTCTGGCATCTTTGGCCTAACCTCTTAGGAAACTGTTAAGTTATATACATGAAGTATTTTCCGTATGTCTGAGGGTAGCAGAACTGTCAAAATTGCATTAGGCACGATGATCCACCTCTTCTGTTCTTGACCACCAGGTGATGGTGATAGGAGTTGTCATTAACTGATTACTGTCTTCTGCACTCGGCAGTTTTACCTACTTACTGCATTTCTCACAGTAAACTTGTAAGTTCAGTATTATTGTCACCTCCATTTTATAGATCATGAAATGAAGGCATTAAGAAAGTTTGAAATGTGACCCAATTCACAGCAGGACTAGGATGGAAAAGCTGCTGACAGCTAAAGGTGTGAAAGCCTGGCATGTAAAAGGCAGGTTCACCATGGAGCTGGCATCAGTCACCTCCTATCTGGGTCCCTCTTTGGGGGAAGTTCTCATCGAGACAGTGCCTAGACCTTGGTAACCACTTAGAATGTCTGTTCACAAACATATTAATGGATTTTCCCCTGAGATATATCCACTACTCCCGTAGCGGGGAGCCCTAGACTAAGACAGTCATACAGAAAGCTAGGGTTTCCCCTTCTAATTTCATAGCCACCCTCAATTATATGAATCTTTGGAAACTGTGCTTCTTTTCGTTATGTGTAAGGAAGACTTTCAGGCCTTAAACCCCACAGTGCAGTACCAGTTTAAAGGAGTCTTGCACGGGAACTCTAGCATCTTAGTTTAAGACTGAAACTCTCCATAGACTGTGAATTCTCAGAATTCTGCCATTCACTATTCTGTGTTCTTGCATTCAGTCTTTCTTTTCTGTTTTCTTAGCATAATGCATAAGATTATAGTCTCTGTAGTCAGAAACACTTGAGTTGCAATTTCAGCTCTGCCATTTACTGGCTCAGTTCCTTGGGTAGCTAACGAATCTCCTCTGCCTCAGCTTCTGGAAACTTAAAGAATGAGAGTAATAGTAGCTACCCAGTGCTAGAGATAACCTGTGGCATAAAATACCTGCTTATGAAACTACACAATTATTGCAAGCTTATTTTTGATAAATGTTTTATATCATCACAGGACTCTACACATAGGCATTGATAAAAAAATGAGGCAAGGGCCAATAAGAGGCCCTTTATCAAAAGGGCCTATTTCTTTATCAGCCTTTGGAAGCGTACAGTTTAGGGCTCAGGTATATGCAGAGTTGTGAAATAAGTCAATGTTCTGATGGTGCCAGTGTTCGTAGGGAAGTTTCCCTACTTCTCATTGCTTCAGTTTCCCTCTTTAATACCCACAGGGTGGTGGTAGTGTCAGGGCACAAGTGCACATGTCAGGCCATTTCAGCGGCAATCTGACAAGGAACAATTTCTGGTTCTTAGGGATTTAGGGACTGCCGCGATGACACCTCCCAAGGCTTTTGCTTGTCTAGGTTCTGACAGGTTATTTACTTCAGGAAAGCAGAGGCCTGGGGACCAACCAGGGCAGCCTCAACTTGCTGTTCCTCCATACCTGGGCTCCCTTCCTGCCTCATTCTTTCATTAGTCTGCTTATCTCACAGCCACCCTGCTGTTGGCTATCAGGGACCCCTGAACTCTTGATTATAGGCCCATTTGGTGGAGCTTATGTGGTCCTGCTGCTGCAAACGCACCTCATAATAGTCAGAGCAGCTTTAC